TTAATTATCATTATTATAGTTTAAATGTGCTTATGCCTTTTCCTTCTGATTTGTAATCCAGACACCTGCAAAATACTCTAGCTATATCAAAGAGAATAAAATTACCTAACGTCTTATTCAATCAGTGAATGAACAAACCCCTTTGTACCCATTCAAGAGTGTTGATATCATCCCTGTTCCTTTAAACTAAAATTACTTTGGGTAGCAGGAAGGGGATGAAGAAAATCATTTGATCCATTTATGATTCTAGTTTTTTACTCACTTATAATGTTGTGATTAAATTTTTAATGTTATAGATCCTTTTGTTTTAAAATTAAGATGGAAAAATCATTTTTAAAGAACACTTAAACGTATGCTTCATCACTCATTTAAAAGGAACATTTTATTTTTTAAAATGATGAATACATCAAGGGAAGGCTTTTATTTCTCACCTGTCTGTATTTTAATATAATTTGATTATCAAATAAATTGGTATACTTCAAGTTGCATTGATGAATTTGGTGTTCTAACTCTAAGTCTGAAATATTTCAAGCATTCTCAGATCTGCATAATGGAACCTGGGCTTCTCCTTCCTCTATCTCCTAGGTTGCCAGATCATTATGCAAGTGTGGAATGGAAGCAAAATCACTATGTTCAATCTCTTAAAATGGTGAACTCATTCATATAAGTTGGCAAGTTGAAAGTTGGCAACAAATAGAGCAAAAAAGAAAGTCAAGTTAAAACTTGTAGCAAGTTTGCTACCACTTACCCAACACCAAGGCTTCTCTCACTCTCCTATCTCCTGGTAGATACTTAGACTTAAAACTCCTCACTCAGACTTACTGTTTCAGGCTTTTCAGTGGGTAAAGTCCTAGTTATAACTGGCCCTCCCACTGAATATTTATGATAGAGTAGACAAGGACAAAATAAAAAACGAAAGTTCCTACTAAAACAACACCACTACCACACATGGGTAGCTATGTGAGATCATGGATATATTAATTTGCTTCTGTATAATAATCTTTTTACTATCTATCTATATTTTATAATATCATGTTATATACCATAAATGTGCACAATAAAAATTATTTAAAAACAACAAAGAAAACAAAAACTAAAGAAATCTGACATTTTATACAAGCAGCCTGTTTAAAATCTGTGTCTGATAGTCTGCCAGATATACCAAGCTTTATTATTCATCCAACATATGATAAATGACCTACCAGGCACTGTTACTTTCTTTTTTGTTTCTAGCACTATCATAAAGGTGAAATAACATATGTCTTTAATAGCACATATTTCTAAAATAGATTTCCATTTAACAATCTTAGTTAAGGCCTAAAAAGGACTTAATCAATAATCATACCTCAACATACAGAAATGTGAACTGGCAAAGCATATGTATAATCCTCATTGAAGAGATAATCAACTAGATGTTTCCCAAGCAAAACACTGTGTGCATTTCTAGAAGTTTGCTGAGATCATGGGGAAAGCTGTGATTTTCCAGTAACATTTGCACTATATGGCACCAAATCTAGCCATAGCAGATTTGTCAGAGTTAATACATGATATGGCTCCAAGTATCACCATTTACTTGTTCAGAGACCAGCTAAAATGTGTTTTTGAACCAGATTTAATTGTAGGAAAGTGTGCATGATTTTGTCTCATAAAGCTAACAAGGATGCTGAGAATGCGGCATGGTCTAATGCTTGAGATGGTCTTTGACTGCTAAGAAAAGAACAGACTCTGAGCAACATCCAGTATCCATGGCAACATGTAGCCTGGCAATTTCTTTTCACAAAGAGGAAATTATTTCCATTTATTTACACTTTCAAGGATTTCATGCATTATAATATCTGCATTGAACTCAAATCTAGCCTTGCCCTATGTTCCAAATCGCATTTTAGCCATTTTGTATTCTGTAGTAAATTAGTTTCCAGATTGGAAAAAACACTCTCAAATCCAAGTAACAATGAATAATATAAAATAAAATATAATTACTGATATAAATGACATATGACCTTATTTCTTCTTGGATGAAGGCAATATTGAGAGCTAAAAATCATGTTATATTGTTGCATTTTGGTCATTACAACATTTTGGTTCACGGAATTTTCAAGTTGATGTCGAATTCATTCATTAAATAGTTTACTCTGTCAGGCAATTTTTTTCCCATTTTTATACAGAGTTTTAAAATATAAATTGAAAAAAATAGGATTCTTCTTTCTCCTTCTCTGCCCCCATCTGCCCTTCCTTGTCCTCCTCTTCCTTGTCATCCCCCTCCTTTCCTCCACCTCCTCCTCCTCCCTCTCCACAGCCAAATGCATAAGTAAATCAGAACTCTTCATCCAGTCGCAGATAAATGGTAAAAGGAGAAAGCCAGAGTGATGATCTAACACTGCTGCTGGAAGAGGCCAGCCCACTGGCCTTTACTTTTCAAAGTCGAAAGGGCAACTGGTATTCACTGATAACAAATCACTTGCTTTCTTCTCAAACCCCTAGAACTGTTTTCCTGTACAAAGCCTAGCTCAGTGATGAGCAATCTTTAATTAAAATCCTCCATGTTGCGGATCCAGTGGATGTAGAGACCCTTTGGTAAGCAAAATGATCTGCATAGTCCTGTTTTCCTTTGACATTAAACACAAATAAAAGCAAAAATCTCCCTATACTCTGCAAATATGGGTAGAAAAATAACATTCCTGCTACATAACCAGACTCTGAAGTTTTCCTTTTCCCTTCAACCTGTGTCAATCTAGGAGACCCTGGGGTTTCCTCCATTCCAGAGACAGACAGAATGCCCTCCCCAACACTTCACTGTTTGAATTGTAACTCTTCCTGTGTCTCCATTAAAGGGTTACATGTGTAAGCCCACCCCATTTCAGGCTTTAACAGGTTAGAATTATCATGTGTCTGTCTCTGGCCATGGGAGCACGCTTGTATAGGAAACTGGATTGACAGTGAGTGTCCCTCTTCTCACTCCTCAATTCTGCCACTGCCATCACCTGACCAGGTGCATATAGACAGGTCACTTCACCTCTCGAGATCTTCATTTTCTATTTTTAGATGATGGAAATCAGACCAGATGATCTATACTGTGGATCTCACTCATCTTATGGTCCTTTAAGTTCTAAACTGTCTAATATTTTAATAAACTGTTTCTATATTCCCCACATCAAACAATAACTCCCACATCTGGAAAATCAGTTGTTAAAAATATATATATTTAAAAACCAAATGAACTGACCACACAAGAGCCTGCACATGTATGCTTATATCAGTGTTATTCATAAGTGCCCAAATTTGGAAACAACCAAGATTTGCTTTAATAGGTGAATACATAAACAAAATATGGTATGTCCATGCAATGGAATAATATTCAGTGATAAGAAATAAGCTGCCAACCATGAAAAGACATGGAGGAACATTAAACACATTCTTCTAAACGAAATAACCCAGTCTGAAAGAACTGTATACTTTATTATTTCAGCTATATGACATTTTGGAAAAGGCAAAACTAAAGAGTCATTAAAGAGACCGGTGGTTGCCAGAGGTAAAGGGGCAGGAAGAGAGAAATGATAGATGAAGCACAGGAGACTTTCAGGGCAGTGGAACTATTGCCTGTGATACTGCAATGGTAGATACAGGACATTATACATTTGTCAAAACCCATAGAACCCATAATGCAAACAGTGAACCCTCATACAAACAATGGACCTTAGTTAATAACAAGTTATCGATATTGGTTAATCAATTGTAACAAATATCTCATACCAGTGTAAGATGTTAATAACAAGGAAACTTTAGGGTAGCAGGAGGAAGCATATGGAACTCATAGAACTCTGTACTTCCTGTTCAGTCTTTCTGTGAATCTAAAACTGCTCTAAGAAACAAAGTCTATTAATTAGAAAAAAAATCAGATTTAATCTTTCCTCAATAAGAATGGAGATTTATGCAGTGGTTCAAGAGACACATCAGTTCTTAACATATATCTCCTTATTAAGCATCCTTAAGAAATTTCAGGATCCCACACATATAAAGTAAGCTGGATCCTGATGGGGCCTAGACCAAATCTTGCTTCTCAGATACTGACTTCTCTGCCTAACTAAAAAGAGTTTAGGCTAACTCTCTGTTATAGACTGAATTGTGTCTGCCCTAAAATTCATATGTTGAAGCCCTAACCCTCAGTGTGTCTGTATTGGAGATAGGGCTATTAAGGGTGTAATTAATGTTAATGAAGTAACAAGAGCGAGGCCCAAGTCCAATATGACTGGTGTTCATATAAGAAGAGGAAGAGACACTGGGGTGCATGTGCTCAGAGAAAAGACCATGTGAAAAAACAGCAGGGAGGGTGTTGTCTGTAAGTCAAGATGAGCAACCTCAGAGGAAACCGAACCAGCTGACACTGTGATCCTGTACTCCCAGCATCCATAATTGTGAAAAAATAAATTCATGTTGTTTAAGCCACCCATTCTGTGGTATTTTGTTATGGCATCCCTAACAGACTAACATACTTTCACTCTGGTATTTTGATTTAAATAACTTCCATTGTAACCATCATTAAATAATTTCATTTTCTAGTTATTTTAAATTTAATACTTCATGCTGGCCTGAAAATTAGTTTAATTTTTGGATTTTATTTTCAGAAGTACAATTTTATTACTTTCAAATACATAATGACATGAAACCAGTACCTTAAGCATTATGTTGCAAGATTTGCATCAGTGAATAGATGTCTGACTTGTGTGGTAGTTCACAGTGTAAGTTCTGGGCAGGGACAGATTGCCTTAAACATTTTCATGTTCTTTAAATTGCTAGATATGCCACAAAATACTATACACAACATTCTGGAAAAATAGTAGTCGACTGATTCAAGTGTTAGCAGCTTAAGAAATTTTGCTAAAAATTCATTAAACCTGTTCTTATTAGAATCTTTATTATTTTTTAAAAATTATCTTAAGTAATATGCAGAAAAATAAATTTCAAATTTTAACTAATGAAAGTTAATACTTTTTCAAACTTACCTTGTCTGAATGTGAAAGTTGTTTGTTGTCCCTGTATGCTCATAATCATGAATGGCAGCAGCAAAGACCATTGCTAAAATTTCCAGTTCAGTGAGCCAGTGCTAGTAAATCACAGAAAGAATCTATTATATTCAAGAAATAAATACCATCTTTCCTTTCTCTGAAAAGGACTTTCAGCGCACCCTGTTTATGTAATCATATAAAATTATTTTTTATTTCTTTTAATTTTTTCCCTATTTTTACCTCCACTAATTGTGCATGATGGATGCTTCATAAGGTCAATGATGGTTTCATGGCCTATAAGTTCAAAATTCAGAATATAATTGTCCTTGCTAATTGAAAAAGGAGCAGTTTCCTATTATTTAAAAAGTGAACCCTAACTGGATTTTGAATTTACAGCCATACATGTTTGGGTTCTTCTGAAATCAATTACAGTTTGGTGATTTTTAACATATAGCTCACGCAACATTAAAATGTCTTTTAGCCCAAGTGTTGTTGAACAATCTACTATGAAAAAAAATGTTCATCTAAAACTTAAAAATATTCACTTCCTTACTAGAGAAAGTACACTTCATTTTTATGTTTAGAGATTTAGAAAAGTTTCTGAAATTCACAAAATTTTCTATTCATAACACATAAAAATGGCTGTGCAATTAACTTCAAATAATGCTAAAAGAATAAATCCTTTCATGTAAAATCCATGACTATCCACTTTACATACATTTACCTTTCAGTTACTAGCTAGATGCTTTAACAAAAGTTCTCTGTTATTATTAGTTCATTTAGAAATAATTCAATAGTTTATTCATCACTCACATTTTGTAAAACCCTTATACTGCACTGCCCAATATGGTAACCACATGTGACTATTTAAATTAAAAATAAAGAAAATTAATTAAAATTAAATTCACTTTCCCAGTTACACTAGCCATATTCCATATGCCTATTGGTCACATGTGACAAGTGGTTACCATATAGTACAGCAAAGACACAAACCATTTCCATCATCACAGCAAGTTCTACTAGAGAACGCTATAAATAGATGGCACTTGATGGTGGAAATGCGGAATCCAAAATGCTATGAAGCTCACTCGGAGTGGTCTTATTCTATACACTTAAAACAATAAAAGACCTTGCAAAAAAACAACAGAAAGAGATCATGTAAACTTTGTGCACACTTGATAAAAGTTTGCAGAATAAAGATGCAATTTAAGAGCATAGACAGAAAGGCTAATTGGTGGCAGTGGATCTTGGGAAAAGGATGGAAAAAGATTGATAGTTAAGTGCAAGGATAGAGACAGAAGAATTTTAAATAGAGCAAATGTAGAATCATACTATAAGGTCTGTATTAAAATAGAATTGTCATTAGTACAATTGTGTTGGAGAATCAAGTGAAGTGAAATTGAAGAATATGGAGAGTATGGAAAGAGTGAATGGACTAATTTGATGAGAATTGATGAATTTAGATTTTGTGTAAAAGGTAAAAGAAAGCCATTGTAGGTCCATGGGTCAAAAATGAAGGCAGTGACAATTGTTGAATCTCATAGATACCAAAGCTATAATCTTATTAATCTTAGCTCCCTTCACATAACCTATCATGATATTTGGCACATATTAGGAACTTAGTATTTGTTAAATTGCAGTTAGCTAGTTTTGCATTAGAAAGAGGTAGCAGTGGTAAGAGACCATGGAATCAGTCCTGGTTTTAAATCTCTGTTAATCCTCAGGAAAATGAGTTATTTACCCTCTCAGCTACAGTTCTGGTGAGAATGGCATTAGTAACCTTTCCCCTATGGGGTTTAAGAAGAAGTTTTGAGTTAATGTATGCACTGTGCCTATCATGTCTTGTCATATGGTAAAATAAAGAATAAATGGCATTTTGCTAGGAACTTACTATGTTAAATGCATTGATTAAGGCATTAAATCTGGGAAATAATAGTTAAAATATCATTAGTGATTGTAATTCAAGTACAAACGCCTCACAATCAGATGAAGCAGAAATAATTTTCAGAGCCAAAGGGAGTTAATATAACTAGCTGTTCTGTGTTCATAGACACATTTAATTATGAGTCATTAAAAGGAAGAAAGTGACCTTATAGAGGTCTGAATTGGGACTGAGCCGCCAATGTTCCCAATGAAACTATGGAACTATAAACACCATGAAATGAATAGCAATTGAAGTTAAACTAGTTTTGAACCCTAGAAACCCACTGTTTTATTAAAGAAAATGATTTCTTTTTAAAAAGTCACTTATTTAAATTTTGGGGTGGGCTCAAATTATGTATTTATAAATATAGCTGTGGTTTTTAAAAGGCAGCATTCATTATCTACTATGATAATACAGAATATAAAGTGTCAATAGTAAAAAGAAATTAAATTAGAAAATCAGAGATGGAATTAATTAGTGATTGACTTGTAAATATTTAAAATTATTATCTTGCTAGCTGTGAAAATTTATTATAAACACATTTCCTGTTTTTATTCTGGTTCATTTCTGCCTCCCATAAATAGTACTTTCTCCACAAATTCCCCTTACTTATTTCCACACTATGGACTAAATCATTAAGTTCCACTACAAACTAGTATAGGAAGAGAGAAACATTGAACTTTCACACTTAATTTAAAAACACATCTACTTTGTATTAGCAAAAGTAGAATTCTGGACTGATTGTTAGTTTCTTAGCTGCTGATTCATTTTGTGCTAGTATCAAAAAGAATTCTAACTCAGAAAACAGGTGCTTAAATTCATAGATTTTATAAATGACTCCTGAGGGCAAGCCAGAGAGAATGAGGTTAAATCCTGTCACTCTTTCCAACTACAGCAGTGGTCAATACAAATCCAAGTTTCTTCTGATTCCTAACAGGCAGAAATAAAGGGTTAAGATGATAAGTCATGAGCAATGCAGACACTGTATTTCATCAGACCTGTAGGTTGTATTTTGTCTGGAGAAATGCTCAGGTTGGCTTACTCTAGAATGGGCAGTCATCAACTTATAAAGAGGTATTGACTGCTATTAGCCACATGTATTAAAACAGAAACAAAGGAAGGGAATTATTAACTGGACACTTTAGTTAGCTGGTCTCATTAAATTCTTATAACCACTTCATAAGATGGTTGTATGTAAATATTTTTATACCTATGTTGCAGATAACAAAGCTGAATCCTAGAGAAATGGATCAACATTTCAAAGTTCACGTACCTATCTAGTGGCAGAGCAGGAATGCAAACCCAAATCTGTCTGATTTCAAAGTTTCTATTTCTTCCACGGATCATGATAGCATTCATTACATAAAGAAGGCAATATGCTGAACATATTCTTCTAAGGTTTCAAAAGGAGAATTTCTAGCTAATTTTACTATATGAATGGGTAGAGGCGAATAGAGTTTTGACTTAGGACTTATAATGTAATTTTCATATCTGAATTACTCAGGATGTGTGTGTGTGTGCGCCTGTGGGATAAAAAAAGTAAATACGTGTATTATACAAAGTATATATGTGTATTATATAAAGGGTGGGGAGAATTTCACGTCAGAAAATCACATTTATTTCTTGATTCCTTGAGTATCAACAACTCTTTTAGCTAGAATTTATGAGATTTGACACTATTTTTCTCTATTCCTTTGAATAGGCTGAAGAAGTTTGCTGTAAGTTACCAGTATAGAAAATTGGCATATTACAATTAATTAATGAAGGTATGTTAATAGCTATTATGTTTTAGGCACTAGGTTAGGTGCTTTACAAATGTGATTTTATTTACTCCTCATTTCCATTCTATAAGGTGGCTGGTATTATTAACTGCATTTTAGTGACAAGGGAAGCAATGTAGAGCTAGCGAATTAGAAAGTGGTGGGGCATGGGTTTAAACTCATGTCTGACTGCTTCCTGAGTCCACACTCTCTTTCCTCTTCCAAACACTATCATATTGGAAGCCATTTATAAGAACAGAATTTCCACATAATTTGTAGAAATATGTAGTGCTAAATGTACTGTAGACTAATCAGAGAAAAATGCAGTCATTCCAAAGTGTGGAAGACTGTTTCTGTGTAGTCAGTGCACTAAAAATTCCAAAGGAGCTTGATGTAAATTCATCTCTCTTCCTTGTACTCTTAGTATTAGAGAGAACGCAATGCCAGGAACCCTCTAATGCAAATGTCTTCTGGCCAAGGCCCTTGGATAATTTCATATTCAAAGAGACATTTGAAGGTGGCTTGACAGCACTTTATAAAACATTTGTTCCTTAGCAAATGGACTGAGTTATTGCACATCACTGTCACCATGGCACAGGACTACAAATGAATCAAGCGACAAAAGGAGAGTGAGGGGGACAAGCAGGTGTATGAGCATCAACTCTCCTCGGCATTGTCTACTCCCAGACTTGAAGGCGTCCCTTATGACATTAACAAACAGAAGGACGATGGCTTAATTGCAATCCCTTTCAGGAATGGTCCTTAAAACATCTTGCAGATGACAACATGCATTAGTCTCCTGACAGTACTGGGCTGCTACCGGAGTGCTTCATAAATGTCACACTGATAGGGCCATCCTGAAATAGCAGGGCATCAACCAAAACACTAGAGTAGATGACCCAGTCTTCTTTATATCAAATCTGAGGGGTGAGAAAGAACTAAAGAGTTTTTGCTAATGAAAATTTCTATAAAGCTTTTTTGTTACAAAGAACCAACACATTCGTATACATGAAATGTAATAGTCACCTATCACTACTTTTTAATGTAGGCAAAACTTGTTAAAATAACTTTCCAAAAATTGTGAAGCTGACAGTGTAACCTAGTTTTGACAAAATAGTCAATACATTCATAAACTCATTTTGTCTTCCCTTTCTCCATCTATGGTAGAATTTCTCATTATTCTCTTTAGTTCAAATGTATTTTCTTGATTCTGGACAACACTAAAGGTCTACTACCAGACTATTTTTGTAATGGCCAAATTAATGGATGAGTAAAGAGCCCAGTGACACATTTTTGCTAAAGGATGAATACAATCAGAAAGTTACATTTATATTTGGTAAGTCATAGCTCTCAGAAAGTGACTATGTGATCTTTGCTAACAACTTTAACTTTCTAGGAGTCATGCCAGGCTTGGCCAAATTCCCCAGTCTTACAGAGAAGTTGGAATGGCCTATTAGGTCCCACAACAGTCTTCCTTATAATTCTGAGAGTAAAACCACATTGTAGATTTGATTTTCTCTGTTTACCAATTAATATGACACCCACATCTCTTCAATGTCACCTTCACACCAGATGTTCTGAAGGTGATATAGGAGACTTTTATTTGACTCCCTTTACACTTGTAGCAAATGTAAAAAACAAAAAAATGCATTCAAGCAGGAATATTTTTTGTAAATGACAAAATTCTGGTTGCCTCCTAGGTTGAAATGGCATTTTCTCACTACACTTCACAATTAAAGCAGGTGCTAGGATTTAGAAATCTCACATGGCCTGCTCCTTTTTTGAACCCAGCTCAGTTTGGCACCTTCACAGGAAGGTCAGTTCCTCACTTTTTACCTTCTGGGAATCACTGTGAGTTTTAAGACATTACAAAAATTCCCAGCTCTCTCAGAGTTCCTGTCATACACTCACTGTTATTTCAGGCTTTGCTTCGCTGAATCATTTAGTCACCCATTCATTGATTCATCAAATGCAAAGAAGAGGAAAGAAAATTTGGAAAAATTCACATGAATAATTTCCCCAAATCCTATTAGAATTTGACTGTGACTAAGAGAGCAAAAGCGACTAAGGTCAGGTTAGGAGCACATAATGAGTGAGAACAGAGTGCTATAACTTTTATTCTAAAGACTTTTTCTCTAGGTCACTTTTTTTGGTTGATTTCTATGGAAAAAATGATTTTACAAACAAAAATGTTTGGTAGTCCAAATTTGGGGAAACATATATTTTTATTTGCCTCTGGTTATCTTTTTTGCAGTGACTTAAAGTATTTTTTGAAAAATGTATATTATAACCCATGAAGCTTCAAAAATCCAAACAATTATTATTTATAAAACTTATTACTTTGAATACCTCTATGGGCATTAAAGAGACAATAGGAACTTACAGGAATGGAAGCTGATGCTTCCAAATGAACAAACCTCAGTTACAAAGACTTTCTTACCATGATACCTGTGTGAAGCATTATGTAATGCACAGTTTGAGTGACATCAGCTGCATGAATCAAATTGTGATATGGATTTTTGTACTTGCTGTAACCAACTTCTAAAGCTTCTGCAAAGGTGATTAGGCAAGAAACAGGAATCTGTGGAAAGTAATAATTATAATTATATTTTGACCAAAAAAGTGGTACTAAATCAACTTGAGCACAGTTTGTCGTGGAACATATTAGTGAGTCAGATGTGGACAACAGTTTCTTTATGTCAAATGTCGATTGTTCTGAAAAACCACTTCATGAACATGTTAGCTTTCATTCCCAAAAAGAAGGATTGTAACCCCCTAGTATTTAACTAGGACAGATTAAATTACAGACTTACTCATACTATTACACTGAAATTTTAGTATCTTCCAGAGAGTAGGAAGGCTAGTTCTTAAAAGGGTAAATATTTCCAGTTACAATTAGTGGAGTCTAGTTTTTCTATCTTAATACAAAGAGGTTAAAATAGATTATCTCCCAGTACTTTACAGCTCTAAAAATGTGATTATTCTATAGGAAATGATGAAAGTAATAAGATACAGTCTGCTCAGTAGTCTGTATCAAATCTATTGCTTGGATGGTTCTAAATGAAGTTAATTAGAAGACCCTTCAATCTAATTTAAGAAAAGCTGGCAGTAAAGGTTCATTTTGTATTTTAAGAATGCTGGAGTAGTCATATTTCTTTAAGACATAGCTGCCAAACCTCATGTGAGTGTTTTGTGAATAAGTCAGGGGATGTTGGCATCTTACTGGAATGAGGCTATAGTGGTCTCATGATCTCTAGGTGCATATATAGATGTGTCAGTGAGTTGTGAAGAATGGTTCTATCATGTAAAGACCTCATCCCCTTAATTCTGTGACCTGCTAAGACATCCTAAAATGAATTGCTTAATTACTCAAATGTTCTGCATTTTCATTCTTATTCAAATAACCAATTCTAAGAGCATTTCACTTGTGTTCCATGTTTCTGACCTTGAAACGGTTGATAAGATCATATCTGGTAAACAGTTCATAAATCATAAACTTCAGACTATGCTCTCCACTTGCTTCATTTAGGGCAAATACATCAAAAGACCATTTATCAACATCCTGTAGAAAAAAGAATAAGTACTTTAGGTGCCAATACAATAATGTTTCTATGAGAATTTATTCAAAAGATAAGGCATTGTACATTTAGCAGGTCATCTTTCAATTTAGCATGCCAAACTACACTTTGACCAGAGTTTCATAGGACAGGACCACTTAGTATCCATGGGTCCAGAAAATTGAGGCCATAATGCTGAATAAAGCACCAAAACCTTTTCTTTAATCCCAAAGTTACTAAACTGATTTAATGCATTTGATAATACCATAATACTGTCATTATCTTTAATCTCTCTCCAACTTCCTGCCATAAATCATTTTCTCAGAGTGGACCTCAATTTAGCATAGAATTGCTAGTTACATAGGTGATGTCAATTGGGAAATACAGAAGAAATAGTGCCAGTTTTTCTTTCTTACTCACTTGCTACATTGCTTGAAATTTCACCATAAGAGTTTGCAGTTTGGCATAAAGTTTTGATATTTACGTCCTGTTATAAGATGTAAATATTGGCCTGGTGCAGTGGCTCACACCTGTAATCCCAACACTTTGGGAGGCCAAAATGGCCTGATCACGAAGTCAGGAGTTTGAGACCAGCCTGACCAACATGGTGAAACCCCATCTCTACAAAAAATACAAAAGTTAGCCAGGTGTGGTGGTGCACACCTGTAATCCCAGCTATTCAGGAGCCTGAGGCAGGAGAATCGCTTGAACCCAGGAGGCGGAGATTGCAGTGAGCCAAGATCACGCCACTGCACTCCAGCCTGGGTGACAGAGTGAGAGTCCATTTCCAAAAAGAAAGAAAGAAAGAAAAATATATAAATATTATAGAGAGATAGAGTATACACTATCTTTAATTATTAAAAGGTATTTTTTTACACTACTTTTCACCTATTATTATTTGCTCTATCTTTGGCTGACTTACTAATAATTTGCTCGAGGGACAGGTGGTGAGAAAAAGGAAGTGGGCCTTTTGATTGAGGAAGAGGATAGTAATACTCGTATTTCACGCAATTCCCTAGGGAAGCAAGCAGGCCAGAAGGGAAACTAGAAAGTACCCCATAACAGAGAGAGAGGGCAGTGAGCAGGGATATAAACCACTCCAACTACCTCATGATTTTGCTTTGAAAATCTATAGAAGCACTGTAGTCCATTCTAATGGTTATCAGAAACTGCTAGCAAGAAGGCCTACTGTTTACACACATACAGTAGGTTTAGTATTGAACAGCAAGTGGGCAACCATAAAGCTATGCATTAATTTTCTATTTGAGTAGGCATGTTTCAAATTTCATTCAACACATTTTTTCTGGAGGCCAACTCTATGTGCTATAATATGCTAGAACCAAATTAAAAACCTGATAAAAAGTATTCAGTCTCTTTTAAAAATACTTCCTTCAAAAAATAAGAGCTTCAAATGGTATTTTTAATCACTTGGAAACAAGCACCAATGAAATAGTTTTTGGTTTGCTTGTATGTCATTATTAAATTCCTTGCATTTGGCCCTTATTTGATCCCCAAATGCTTGCTTTATCTCTTTATATATTGAAAGTTATTATAAGTTCTGTTAGAAGGCATTTTACATCAGTAAATCTCAAAGGAGGCCAACAAATCTTTTATCAAACTCCAAAGCTAACAAACAAGAGTTAGTCCAGACTCTTAGAAGGTTGCTATTTATATTTACAGCTCCAACTTGGGTGTTCCCACTGAGTAAAAGGTTAATTCTTTATTTCTTGAGAATTTTTTTATAAACCCTGATGATTTACATTTGTAAACTACTGCAGATGCTTGGATTTTATGTCATCAGATTGAGAACGAACAAGACAAGGAGGCTTCTCAGAAAATAAGAGTTATTTAACTAAAACATTCTTTACTTGGTGATATTCCCTTTCTCAACCTGTTAGTTTATATCTTTTTTACTATACGACATGTTAGAAAACATACTACATTCTCTCATACTAAAATATTTTGTTAGTTGGTTTTTAAGGGAAGATTCTTAAAATAAAATAAAAATGAGTAATTTTCTTGCTCACTGTTAAGGAAATAATAGAGAAGGCAAAATCTCTCAAGAACCGAGGAATGATTAATATCCTTTAATGCAGTGGTCCTCAATATTTGGGCACCAGGAACTAGTTGTGTGGAAGAAAATTTTTCCACAGGTCGAGTTGGGGTTGGGTGGTTTTGGAATGAAACTGTTCCACCTCATCAGCCGTGCACAACCCTCACATGCACAGTTCACAGTAGGGTTTGCGTTCCTATCAGAATCTAGTGTCCCCTCTGATCTGACAGGAAGCAGAGAAACACAAATATAAAAAAGCACCAAAGAAAAACGAGCTATCTTTTAAAATTAATGAGATTAAAATCTAACATGCAGCAGAGAAAAAACAAATGCGAAGAAGATGCTTAAAAATTTTGAAAACACAAATTTAAAATTAAAAAGGAGTAAAATAAGTCAGAAATAAATCAACCCAAGATCCGCTGCTGCCAATATCCTTTAAATTCTTGGTTAATGCAGAAAAAGCAACATGAAGATGTTTTAGGAGACAATGTTAATTTCCCTTAACCAAATTAGGCAATAGAAACAAGGAATTTAGAAGGATGAGCCTACAAAATGCCTCTGTAGAAATAACATTTAGAAACAAGGCACATGAACACCACACACACACACACACACACACACACATAAACATACACACACAATGGGGCATGTATGTGAGCCAACAACTTTACTCACTTCAGAGTTTCAACTCTGATTATTTATAACATATATAGCACTGCAATTGGGCCTTAGAATAGTGTAGCCACAGGAGAAGCCAAAGATAAGAGAGATAAGGTTTTTTTTCTTTCTTAATTTTATCTTACATTTTGTATTTTTCAGACCTACAATCCTAAATAATTTCCTTCTATATGTTTTGTCATTTAAACATAATTGACTAAAACATCTTTTTATAACATGCATTTAACTCTTCCATAATACATTCATAACAAAATATGTACATTTTGACAAGTACTAGTGCCATTTCAAAATAAATTCAAGATCCCCATAAATAAAATTAAGAAAAAAACCACACGTATGTATACATACAAACATGCATATATATACGTTGATATAGTTTGTGTAAATCAGTCATTTAAATCTACAATGAGTCATGATTTGGAACACAGTTCATTTGTTAAATTGTTAGAATATGTTGAATTTTTTAACGTTCTAAGATGTAGGCTGCAGTAAAGATCTATTCTCGTTTTCTCCTAGCCTTTTTAAGAACATTTTTTAAATGACCATTTTAAACATGAAAATAATGAAATGATTTCACCTTTAATGTTACGATGACAGCTGCTGGATATGCCAAACCAACCATATGATATGTTTTTCGGTACATCCTAAAAAAGACAAAAATAAGTGTATATATAAAACTCATTGATTCAAAGTTTTCAACTATTTCTGAAACGTAAGGGAAGAGATTACTTTTGACATGTTCACCTCTTATCATTAGTTACAGACTCCCTTTGTGTCAACAATGATAACTATAGTCACCTTTTACTAAACATCTACAATTTGACAATGTAATATATTCTCTATTCACAATCACCTTGTAAAGTTAATGTGACTTTAGTTTCCATGTAAAGATATCCTTCCCTGAACTTTATCATATTGAAAGATGCACTACACTTTGCATATGCAACAACTTTCTAACATGCCAACATATCCCTGACAGCAGAACATTCTGTTTTGTGTCCATTTATATGACAAAATTTTTAGTCTGGAAGCTAAATGTCATTAAAATATTTCCTTTATATTTTTATATTAAAATTATAGGGGGGGAGATGTAGTGTCATCAGAATTTACATAGCTCCCTTCTTTTATTTAATGATATTGGGAAATTAATATCAGCAAAACTTATTTAAGTTTGTTCAAATTGTCATTCAATATTAAGAAAGGTTATTCAGAAAGAAAACAAGGTTATTTTCATTTCCATAATAGTATCAATAACAAAAGTGTTCTTTTGTTTTTGTTTTGTGTTTCTGTTTTTTTTTTTTTTTTTTTTTTTTTTGAGATGGAGTCTTGCTCTGTCGTGGAGGCTGGAATGCAGTGGTGTGATCTCCGCTCACTGCAAGCTCCGCCTCCTGGGTTCAAGCGATTCTCCTGCCTCAGCCTCCTTAGTAGCTGGGATTACAGGCACGTGCCACCATGCCCAACTAATTTTTGTATTTTTAGTAGAGACAGGGTTTCACCATGTTGGTCAGGCTGGTCTCAAACTCCTAACCTCACAATCTGCCCACCTCGGCCTCCCAATGTGCTGGAATTACAGGCGTGAGTCACCACACTGAGCCAACAAAAGTGTTTTTAATAATCAGTGATTTGATTTTTTCTATCTTCTGCTGGGCAACCCAAATAGCATAAACCAAATATAAGAACCGCCTCCATGAATTCATGTGAGAAAAGAATCAATATGATAGCCTAGTGTGTGATATAGCAATAGTGCTTCCATTCGGGACTCTGAAAGAAACATGTTTCCTCCTCCAAGACCTGGGAAGAAAGAATTCAATTGATTGTTAATCATGTCCTTTAATTTTTATATCAAGTTAGTCCACAACAAGCTGAATTTCTAGGCTATATCTGTAAATTCTCCCTACAAAAGGCCTGGAGAATGCCATAGCTTAATTAAATATGATAAATATGTTAGATGTAAGAAACGGTCACATGGGCAATATTCTGCGTCTTTTATAAAACCGCTATAGAAGATACTAAATTTTTTGATTCAATGTTCCTTATGTTAAAAATGCATGGGACATATTACTCAGTTTCTATGTAAAAGTCATCATTTGTTAAAGATAATCAAAGCTAAGCAATTTATCATGTTTTCCTGTTAAGTCTTGACTAGTTGGAAGTTCAGAATGAAAATATTGTGTTTAATTACATCTCTAGCCTAGGTTTTCTTGATGAAGTATCTCTCCATTTTATTCTAGAGACCTTAAGCACAAAGGTTTCATGCTTCCACTTTATTTTAAATAATCATAAATTATTTTTGGATGTGGGTGATTAGGTAAAATAAGAAATTATCCTATATCTCTATTGAAAGATTTTAGAACAGTTAAAACTAAGAATACTTATATTAATTACTTCATTGATATAAGTATAATTATTCTAATCTTGCAGAGCAAGGAAACTACTAATCATACTATACAAGATCTAGAATAATTACTATCGACAATGATACTTAGGTTTTTTTTTTGGAAACAGTCTTTTCCATCTGTTTCTAGTCATTACCATTAATACTAAAAAATGGAGGTGCAGGGGAAATTGAAGGATGATGAACAGGGAAAAGGATCAATATAAAAATCATTCAGGATTAAGAAATTTTAAAATGTTAATTAACATTAACTTGACTTTATGGCACAGAAAGGCAAAGAGAACACACGCTTTGAATCACATGTTAGCCACTCACTGCTGTGTGACCTTTGGAAACTATTTAATGTCACTCATTTGTAAAATGAGAATAATTATAAGCTTTTTGTGAAGAGTAAATGATTCTCAATACAAGAAAGTCGTCATTTTTATTATTATTGTAACTGTTCTCATTACTTTGCAGCCAATATCATTGGTTCGAAATCTTGTATGTTTAGAGCTCTCTGGCCTCAATGGGATCTCTGGTGCTACTGAGTTTCTTAAACCTGGGATAGGTTGAGAAATGAATACCAATATACTTTCTCATTACATGAAATGTAAAGGAAGACAAAGAGGATTGCCCTTCCAAAGAGACAGCAAAACTTTCCCATTATCATACTTTTCTAATTCTATAATCAGGAATAGAATTCTAGGATGGAAAATTAGAAATAGTAAACTAAGATGGAAAATTAAGATGACTCATCCTTGAATTAGAATGAGTATCAGAGATATCTTAACCCAGTTGTCTCACACTTTAGTAAACAGGTGATATATTACAACTTTCTGAAAAATGACAATGAATTTCCTGGGCTCTAAAGGTGGTGAAAGTCTAACTGGAAATGTAGTGGATTATTTTTGGAAGTTTCCATAATAGTTACAAGATATAATTCAAAAACTCCTTTAAAAAATACTATTTTAAGGCCAGGCGCAGTGACTCATGCCTGTAATCCCAAAACTTTGGGAGGCCAAGGCGGGTGAATCACCTGAGGTCAGGAGTTCGAGACTAGCCTGGCCAACATGGGAAACCCTGTCTCTACTAAAAATACAAAAAAAGTAGCCAGGCGGGGTGGCAGGAGCCTGTAATCCCAGCAGGAGAATCTCCTGAACTCGGGAGGCGGAGGTTGCAGTAAGTAGAGAGCACGCCACTGCACTCCAGCCTGTGTGACACAGCCAGTCTCCGTCTCAAAGAAAAACAAAACAAAACAAACAAACAAAAAACAACACTATTTTATACTAGGCACTCTGAGAGGCAGCAGACTTATTCAGTGGAAGGCAAGGAAAATACTGCTGCTGTTTCACAGGGCTTATTCCAGTGGTGAGGAGAAATGAAATATAAGAGACAATATATGATTACAAACAGGGATAAGTGCTGGAAGGTAAACCACTGGCTGGGGGCAGCAATAGTGAGGAACAGCATAGAGTGATCCGGGAAGACCTCTGGAACGGTAAAAGGGCCAGCCCGCTATGTTGAAGGGTGGGGAGAACCACTTCTGACAGAGAAAATAACAGGATGAATGGCTCCAACGCAGGAAAGAGCTTAGAAATGTCCTTGAAATTGAAATCAGGCTGGTATAGGTGTTCAGTCAAGGATGAAGTTTGCAGTAGATGAGGCTAGAAAGCAAAATGGGACCTAACCAGGCTCAAGTGAATTGGGAAACCCTCTGGTAGTTTGAAGCTTAAGAATGAGAGGAACTAGGCCGGGCGCGGTGGTTCACGCCTGTAATCCCGGCACTTTGGGAGACCTAGGCGGGTGGATCACGAGGTCAGGAGATCGAGACCATCCTGGCTAACATGGTGAAACCCCGTCTCTACCAAAAAAAACACAAAAAACTAGCCGGGCGAGGTGGCGGGCGCCTCTAGTCCCAGCTGCGCGGGAGGTTGAGGCAGGAGAATGGCGTGAACCCGGGAGGCGGAGCTTGCAGTAAGCCGAGATCGTGCAACTGTACTCCAGCCTGGGTGACAGAGCGAGACTCCGTCAAAAAAAAAAAAAAAAGAAGAAGAATGACAGGAACTAATTTGTATTCTAAAAACATCACTGTGGAATGGCTTGGTTGGCGTGAGCAAGTGAGGAGGAGAGGAGCCCAGTTAGAAAGTTACTGTCATATTTCTGAAGGCAGATAGTGGAGGCTTAGATTGTGGTTGCAGGAGTGGAGATGAGGAAGTGAGTGGATTCAGAATGCATTTGGGTAAGTAATTGCCAGGGCTTGCCGGGGAATTGAATCTTGGGAGGAAGTGTTTAAAGGAAGAAGCAACAAGACTTCAAGTAGACTCAGCTGTCAGGATTGAAGATGATTACTTTTGAAAAGTTCCAATAAACTTGTCCCACTATTTTTATGCACCTACTAGTGGGGATTCAACAGTGATTTAAAAAAGACTTTTTTCCATATGTTCTTAGCACACTGATTTCTTAAAGACTGCTTACTAATTTAGTTACCTGAAGTACAATTTTATACTTTTATAGGCTACTAAAAAAGTTTACTTTTATAGGCTACTAAATAAAATTTTATACTTTTATAGGCTACTAAATAAACATATGAAAAAATGGAAATTTAGCATATTCATATATTTTATGTATTATAACCTTCTCTTGAATGGAAATGGAAATTCGGTTGATCTTCCTCCACAGTTTACATTTTTTCCCAGTTTGCCAAGTTCTGCAATTTTTTTTTAAACAAAGAAGACAAAATATACATTTCTTTAGCAAATCAAACATACTCTCATGTTTCATCTGTGATTCTCTCACAGATTTTCTGATGTACTATTTAGATATTTTTAATTCGGTGCTAGAGAAAAGTCATCTTCTTTAAATTGCGTAGTGTATTTAACCATCTTTAAGTTTTATAATACATTTCTTGCCATGCATTCTCATTTGCACTTTTAGAAATTCAAATGTGCTTTCCATTGTCCCTTTAGCAGAAGAAAATTAAAGTTTGTAATGTTTATTAACAGTAATACCTAGAGATATCAGAAGATGAGAAATAATGCATTTTCTCTAAAATTTAATTTTAAGCATATTGGCAAAATGTTCTCTGTTTCTCAACTTTACTAGTTTCTAAAATATTCAAATAATCGTTCTATATATAATTTCATAAAATTATTTTTTAATCTAAGGGATTTCTGATAACTACTTTTCAATTTTGTCAAACATAAAATGTCTATTTCGGGTCTTTTGTAGTTTTAGTTCTAGGAAATATCTTGTTTCCTAGATGGAAAAAATAAGCTGTATTCCTAAGGGCTGAAAGAACATAAAATTGGGTCATATTAACATATGTTTCACGTTGAAAACTCTGATGATATAACTAGGCGTTTCTAGGGGCCATCAAATATCCCTTGCTTCAGTGACAGAAATGTTGGGGGAAAAAAAAAACTATCAAAAGTGAGCACGAGAGGGATTTCCTCCATTATGGAAAGATGGGAAGTGAATGGGCTTTTATCTTTAGGGCAAAGGAAGGCCTGAGTGATCTTGACATGTAGATTGCTACCCAATGTAGAATGTATTTTATGAAATGTTACATTTTATTCAGGTAAAATTAGTTGTGTAACATATACATGTGTCAGAATTGTTTTTAAACAGTTGTTCACAAAGGTTCATTTGAGGAGAAAGGTCATTCAAAAGTCTTTGCTTTCAGTCTTCATGTCAACTTAAAATAAATAAAAAGAATGCATCCGGGACCAGGTGTTTTTGTTATAGGTAAGTTCATCATAAAGTCCCAAATTTGTTCATTCTAGTTATAATTATGATTACAGTTTTCCTCAATAAGTGAAATATAGACTGCTCATACCTTTTATAAAATGAATGTATCTGCTGCCTTTCAAATATTATTGTCTTGAGATGCCAACAATTTCACTTACCTTTCCACAAAAATTCCAGCTTGAACAGCATGCACAATGCTCCGAAATTTTGGTTTTTCCTCAGGTTTCTTTTTTGTCATCCCCATTTTCCGTGTAAAGGTAGAAGCCAACCAGTCCCGGACTTCAGATGGGACTGAGTCAGTCTGAATGTCACTGAGCTCATCTTCAGTATCCAGAAGTCTTCTACAAAAATTTATACAGATTAAACATTTTTAAAAAGTGAGGAAAAACTAATAACAGGAAAACAAGGATTGCAATGGAATTTAAAATATAGCCAATACTGCTCTGTTTATTCCTTAATATGTACTCTCTAAAGAAAAAAAAAAATCATTAACATTTGGAAAGCTCTTAATTTCTCAAATTGATCATATGAAGGCAACAACTAATAGATTTTGCATTTGCTGCTTCCCAAACATTTCAGCACAATGATACACTAGTCTGGAGGTACCGACTGTTAATATCTTTAGTGTGCTGTTCTGATAATGAATAAAACTAAGGAAAGATATGGAAGAGAATTCATAAACAGATGTCTGCTATTAAAACAAGCAACTGGAGTGGAAAGAATAAAGGGGGATTGAATCCATAATAGCTGTCATATACTTAATAATCTAGTGTATGTCTTACATATAGTACATGATATTCGAATAAGGCTTTGCAATGTATAAAAGTCATTCACAGGTACTATTTCATTGGGTAAGTACCCCTAAATTTTAGGAAAATAACAACTTAAGTGCTCTCAACGATATCCATTCTATCAATATCACAGATTTTAAAAGTGAAAAAAAAAAGAATGAAAACACATGAAAATAAATAGATTATGTTTAAAGCACATTTCAGGTGACCAGTGGGTGGAGATCTCATGGGTTTAGAACTGCTGGCCAAGGAAATCAACCCAGTGAGTGAGGTAGTGAACAGGAACTGAAACAATGACCACGCTCTGTGTAAGCTCCAGGTAGATAAAATTGACTGGACTGCTGAGTAATAACAGCTGCCATTAAAGAGGACACTCAGGAAACATCGCTATTTTAAGGCCAGTCAACTTCAGGAGTCAACAACTTCCTAAAGGTCTGAACTGGCAACATCCCAGAGGCTCCCCACCAAATACAGAAACAGCTTACAGAACAGTTGAGCTTTGTCTCCAGGAGGAACACAGGCTGCTCTGCCTGCCATTTGACTCGGTTTTTCCTTATCTGTGCACCAATCTAAAAACTCATTGGCACATGTTAGCTTTAACCTTTGGGTTTCATCTGCTTTTGAAAATCTCTTTGCACAGACCTAGGCCTAAGGTTTATGAGCCGATGTTGGAAGGTGGCAAGAAATGGTTGTACATGCCAACGCCTCAGAAACAAGGCACAGGCCATCTCAAGAAGCAGGGACAAAACAAAGGACAAAAACCAGGAGGTCTCCACAAAGAACTCAATCTGGCCAAAGAGAGGCTCAAAAGGTAATATGCAGAAGAGGAACTTTTCATGTTCCTTTAATTGGCCTCCTGTATATGCTGCTGTTTCCCATAAACCTGCAGAAAATAGTCATTTGCCAATATTTCTTTTCCATGGTATTAAATAAGCATGAATGTATTTATGAAATACCTTATGAAAAAAGTAAACATAAGTTCTGGAGTCACAAAGATACATGTATACCTATAAAGATTAAAAAGATTTAGAGTTGAATGTTAATACTGATTAATACTTACTTTATTCGATTTTTAATTTTCTTTCTGATCTCACATTTGGATGGTTTTGATTTACCCCTAAAACACTGAACTAGAAAATTAAAGCAAAATAGTTTGTTTTTCTTTTTGCCCATTTGAAATTAGATTCCCTAGCCCATTTCAGCAAGTCACTAAACTACATGGCTTGAAAATTTCACTACTTTAAAGATTATGCCATTTCTACTATCTCTTATGCAGTGATCAAATACAGGGCAGGTGGGACAGGTAGAATAGGAATCATTGTGGTGTAATCTTGTGATGTCACCATGCTCCAAGCATTCCACTGCAGCCTAGTTTTGTCAGCTAATCTCCTTAGAATGACAGAAACCTGAACTGATGGTGCCAATTCCTCCACAGTAAATTTCATGTTGATGACTTTAGGGCTATATGTCCTATTCTCATAAATGATCCAAGAAAGATCATCAAGCATAACAAAACCAGCGTATGAAAGTGATATTCCACATAGTAGAGTGGTACTTAGGAGGCTGGAAATCCTTAGTCATGATGCATGAGGTCATTTACTGAGAAGAAAGTGAATATAATTTTAGGGAGAAAGAATGATATGGATATGGATTAATTAGGGACACACAAATAAAGGACGAGAGTGTGTTAAGGGAAGAGCATGGAATATGCTATTGTGTAACTTGAAAAGAGAATCTTGAAAAGGCAACAACTACCTCCATGAAGTTTAATTTTATGTGTCACCATAGGTAGGTTATGGTGGCCAGTTGTTTGGTCAAACACCAATTTAAATGTTGCTGTGAAAGTATTTTTTAGATGTGATTAACACTTAAACCAGTAGACTTTGAGTAAAGCAGATTACCCTCTAAATTATGGGTAAGCCTCATCTGATCAGTTGAAAACCTTAAGAAAAAATATTAAGGTCCCCCAAAGAGAAAGGAATTCAGCTTCCAGAACGCCTTTGAAATCAAGAATGCAATAACGACTCCTGCCAGGGTTTCCAGCCTGCCAGTTTGCTTTGCAAATTTCAGACTTGCCAGCACCAATAATCACATGAGCCTCTTCCTTAAAATACATATCTCGCTCTCTCCTCTCTCCTCTCTCCTCTCCCTCTGTCTCTCTCTTTCTCTCTATCTCGTGTGTGTGTGTGTGTATGTTGTGTACCTATTAGTTAGGATAAGAAATAATCTTTCCATCATTTATGAATGCTGTGTGATAACTACCAGTGTAGGTTATAAATGAAGTAGAATATAAAGACTGAGTTCTCTATTAACATTCATTTAATAGAACATACCAGTCCTATTTCTCATGTAAAAATCCTGTTTGCAATGAACTAACATGCCTTTTTAGCAATTATAAATCTAAACACCATACTGTTTAAACATTACAGAATTATTGTCAAACTAAATGAAGTGATTAAAAATGGAAAAAATGAGAATGATCCCTTCTCAGGTGGAACTTATATTTTAAAAGAAAGACGAGGCCGAGACCGCGTCCGCCCCGCGAGCACAGAGCCTCGCTTTCGCCGCTCCGCCGCCGGTTCACACCCGCCGCCAGCTCACCATGGATGATGATATCGCCGCCCTCGTTGTCCACAACGGCTCCGGCGTGTGCAAGGCCGGCTTCGCGGGCGACGATGCCCCCCAGGCCGTCTTCCCCTCCATCGTGGGGCGCCCCAGGCACCAGGGCGTGATGGTGGGCATGGGTCAGAAGGATTCGTATGTGGGCGACAAGGCCCAGAGCAAGAGAGGCATCCTCACCCTGAAGTACCCCATCGAGCACGGCATCGATGGGACGTCCCACAACTGGGACGACATGGAGAAGGTCTGTCACCACACCTTCTACAATGAGCTGCATGTGGCTCCTGAGGAGCACCCCGTGCTGCTGACCAAGGCCCCCCTGAACCCCAAGGCCCACCGCGAGAAGATGACCCAGATCATGTTTGAGACCTTCAACACCCCAGCCATGTACGTGGCCATCGAGGCGGTGCTGTCCCTGTACGCCTCTGGCCGTACCACTGGCATCGTGATGGACTCCGGTGACGGGGTCACCCACACTGTGCCCATCTACAAGGGGTATGCCCTCCCCCACGCCATCCTGCGTCTGGACCTGGCTGGCCGGGACCTGACTGACTACCTCATGAAGATCCTCACTGAGCACGGCTACAGCTTCACCACCACGGCCGAGCGGGAAATCGTGCGTGACATTAAGGAGAAGCTGTGCTATGCCGCCCTGGACTTCGAGCAGGAGATGGCCACGGCGGCTTCCAGCTCCTCCCTGGAGAAGAGCTACAAGCTGCCCGATGGCCAGGTCATCACCATTGGCAACGAGCGGTTCCGTTGCCCTGGAAGGAAGGTTCCAACCTTCCTTCCTGGGCATGGAGTCCTGTGGCATCCACGAAGCTACCTTCAACTCCATCATGAAGTGTGACGTGGACATCCGTAAAGACCTGTAGGCCAACACAGTGCTGTCTGGTGGCACCACCGTGTACCCTGGCATTGCTGACAGGATGCAGAAGGAGATTACTGCCCTGGCGCCCAGCACGATGAAGATCAAGATCATTGCTCCTCCTGAGCGCAGGTACTCTGTGTGGATCTGCGGCTCCATCCTGGCCTCGCTGTCCACCTTCCAGCAGATGTGGATCAGCAAGCAGGAGTATGACGAGTCTGGCCCCTCCATCGTCCACCACAAATGCTTCTAGGCGGACTGTGACTTAGTTGCATTACACCCTTTCTTGACAAAACCTAACTTGCGCAGAAAACAAGATGAGATTGGCATGGCTTTATTTGTTTTGTTTTGTTTTGTTTTGTTTTTGGCTTGACTCAGGATTTAAAAACTGGAACGGTGAAGGTGACAGCAGTCGGTTGGAGCGAGCATCCCCCAAAGTTCTACAATGTGGCCGAGGACTTTGATTGTACATTGTTCTTTTTTTAATAGTCATTCCAAATATGAGATGCATTGTTACAGGAAGTCCCTCGCCCTCCTAAAAGCCACCCCACTTCTCTCTAAGGAGAATGGCCCAGTCCTCTCCCGAGTCCACACAGGGGAGGTGATAGCATTGCTTTCGTGTAAATTATGTAATGCAAAATTTTTTTAATCTTCACCTTAATACTTGTTTATTTTGTTTTATTTTGAATGAGGAGCCTTCGTGTCCCCGCTTTTTTGTCCCCCAACTTGAGATGTCTGAAGGCTTTTGGTCTCCCTGGGAGTGGGTGGAGGCAGCTAGGGCTTACCCGTACACTGACTTGAGACCAGTTGAATAAAGGTGCACACCTTACAAAAAAAAAAAAAGAAAGACTAAAAATAAAATAAGGATTATGATATAGGTTAATTATGAGAAGAAACACTACTTTAGATAAGATGATCAGATAGTTAAGACCCGAACAATGAGAAAGTATTAGATATAGGAAAGTCTGGGGGAAGTCTGTTCTATCTATTCCAGATAGAAAGAAGGGCAAGTACAAAGGCCCGAGGCATGATCGGTATTGGCATGTTTGAGGAACAGAAAGGAGGCCAAATGTGGCTGGAGTATACTGAGTGAGAGAGTGACTCAAGTTGGGAGGCAAACATAGGTCTAAGTAAGCTAATAGCAGGCCTTGGAAGGATTCTGTCATATTTGCAATGGCAGGTCATTGAATTGTTTCAAGTAGGATGTGATATGATTTATGTATCTAAAAGACCAATGTGCATGCTGTGGGAGGAATAAAAAAAGTTGTAAGAATAGTGTTTTGAGTTTAGTTAGTTTAGTTAACTGAGCACAATTGCAAAAATGGTCTTTTATTTTGGAAGTTCACTACTTTTTGAAGACCCTAATTGGTATGGAATTGGGCATCATTTTTTCCTGTAAACATATGGCTCAAAGTCTTACTGGTATATTATTTTATTTACTTATTATTATTATTATTATTGAGATGGAGTTTCGCTCTTGTTGCCCAGCCTGGAGTGCAATGGCGCGATCTCAGCTCACCGCAACCTCTGCCTCCCAGGTTCAAGCGATTCTCCTGCCTCAGCCTCCCAGGCACATGCCACCATGCCTGGCTAATTTTGTATTTTCAGCAGAGATGGGGTTTCTCCATGTTGGTTAGGCTGGTCTCGAACTCCTGACCTCAGGTATCTGCCCGCCTTGGCCTTCCAAAGTGCTGGGATTACAGGTGTGAGCCACCACACCCGGACTTAATGGTATATTATTAATGTTTTCTCAGACTATACATTTTTTTCTGTTCCATTTGTTTTGTTCTCTTCTTCGGGGAAATGGATTATGCATATCGGAGATCTCTTTTATCTAGTTTCCATATCTATCATTTTTCCACTAAACCTTTTTTTGAAAAACTAATGTCTTGATCTTATCCTGTTTTGTTTACCTTTTTCTTTCTTTCTTTTTTAACCTTTAAAGTGTTTTATTTGTAAAACACTCTACTGTGTTTTCAGTAATGTCTCTTTTAAGTTTTGTGGCTTATGGCTTGGCTGTCTCTACAGGGTAGCCTCATTTTCCTCCTCCTTTTGCTGACTGTGTTGTGTGTACACGTTTCACCTCCTTGTCTTATCATATTATTTACCTCTTGAAACTTTTTTCTTTGTTTTAATCGTATTATTTTTTCTACAGAATTGATGATTTCATGAAGTTCTTGAGTTCACAGGATGAGCTCACAGATGTGTACGTTCCTCTGGCATGAGTTCTTTGACATGTGTTTTTCCCTATCCTTTCCACCTTTGTTCTTGTGGTATTTTTTTGTATGGATTCCGTGTTGGTTTCTTTTTGAAAATTGTTCATTCTTATATGAGAGAACTTCTTTCCAAATCAGAAGGTTGAAGAGAAGGACCAGGAGAATGTGTACAGCAGAAAAGAAGTGAATCTGGGTATGAGGTCAGATGTGTGTCCCTATGTGCAAGAACTGACTTAACTTTCTCTTCAGCTGACAGAAATACTAGCTGCAGGTCTGTTTCTCAAAGATTTTTCTCTGTGCTACAGCACAGTTACAACAGTGGCCTTTGAGATCTTCATCTGCCTGTGCATACATCTCTGCTACTCCAGCGTGTGAAATGGGGGAAGCTTCCATAGCCAGCTGGCATACCTTGACCTTTTTATTCTACTCAATAAGTTTCTAATTTTTCCTTTTTGAATGAGCATGATTACCTAGAGAACTCTGTCCTATGCTATCCCTGCCTGACAGCCACAATTTCAGGCACCTTCATCATTTAGACTTTATTTTTTAAGCTTATAGAAAAATTGAGTGTATAGTACAGAGAATTCCCATTCATCTCATCTCCACCCCCACCTTTACAGTTCCCCTATTATTGACATCTGGTATTATTGTGGTACAGTTATTTCAGTTGATGAGCCAATGTTAATACATAATTTTTTTTTTTTTTTTTTTTTGAGACGGAGTCTCGCTCTGTCGCCCGGGCTGGAGTGCAGTGGCTGGATCTCAGCTCACTGCAAGCTCCGCCTCCCGGGTTTACGCCATTCTCCTGCCTCAGCCTCCTGAGTAGCTGGGACTACAGGGGCCACCTCGCCCGGCTAGTTTTTTTTTGTATTTTTTAGTAGAGACGGGGTTTCACCGTGTTAGCCAGGATGGTCTCGATCTCCTGACCTCGTGATCCGCCCGTCTCGGCCTCCCAAAGTGCTGGGATTACAGGCTTGAGCCACCGTGCCCGGCCAATACATAATTATTAATTAATATCCATAGTTTACATGAGGGCTCACACTTTCTGTTGTACATTCTATGGGTTTTGGTAAATGTATAATAACATATATCTACCATTACAGTATCATACAGGGTAGTTCCACTGCCCTTAAAACAATTCCTATACTTTGTCTATTCAACCTTCCTTCCTTCCCTCACCTCTGGTCCCTGGCAACCACTATCTTTTTGCTGTCTCCTTAGTTTGGCCTTTTCCAGACCATCAGATACTTAGTATCATATAGTAAAAGGCTAGACTTTTTAGTATTGGCTTATTCCACTTGGTAATACGCATTTTTCTCCATGTCTTTTCATGGCTTGATAGCTAATTTCTTTATATTGCTAAATAATATTCTATTGTATGCATAGATAGTTTGTCTATGCATTCTACTATTGAAGGACATCTTGATTGCTCCAAGGTTTGGCAATTATGAATAAAGCTCCTATAAACAGGTGCAGCTTTTTTCAACTCATTTGAGGAAATGCCAAGGAACACAATGGCTGGATGGTATCATAAGTGCTTAGTTTTTCAAAAACTGCCAAACTGTCTTGCTATACCATTTTGTACTCCCACCTGCAATGAATGAGTCAGAGGCCAAGCTGCCATCATCTCTTGCCTGGCCTCCTGTGCGGCCTGCTAACTGGTCTCCGCCTCTTGCTCCTGACCCCTGTCAGTCTCCTCTTCCCTCTATAGCCAGAATGCCTCTTTTAAAGTTTAAGTCAGACCACAATGCTTTATTCATAAAGCTCCACATAAGTCATCTCGAGCTAAGTCTCTAACCTCACCTTTTAACCAGTTCCCCTATATTCATTTTGCTCCAGTGACACTATTCTTGCTGGATGCAAAGCTGCCAAGCTTGCTTTTGCTTCAGGGCCTGTGTACTTGCTATTCACTCTACTTAGAGTCTTGTACTCAGATATTTGTGTGAATCATTTCCTTACTGCATTTAGGTAGAGAAGGCATCCATGTGCCCACTCCCAGTAGTAAATATTCTTCGTTTTTATTTTGTCTTTTTATTCTGCTGTAGTCTTCTTCCTTCCTTTCTTTTCTTTCTTTCTTTCTTTCTTTCTTTCTTTCTTTCTTTCTTTCTTTCTTTCTTTCTTTCTTTCTTTCTTTCTTTCTTTCTTTCTCTTTCTTTCTCTTTCTTTCTCTCTCTTTCTCTCTCTGTCTCTCTCTGTCTCTCTCTCTCTCTCTCTGTGTCTCTCTCTCTCTCTCTCTGTCTCTCTCTCTCTCTCCTTCCTTCCTTCCTTCCTCCCTTCCTTCCTTTCTGACAGAGTCTCGCTCTGTCGCTCAGGCTGTAGTGCAGTCACGTGATCTCGGGTCACTGCAGCCTCTGCCTCCCATGTTCAAGCGATTCTCCTGCCCTGCCCCTGCCTTCCAAGTTACTGAGATTACAGGCATGCCACCACGCCCAGCTAATTTTTTGTATTTTTAGTAGAGACAGGG